TAAAAATAACAGTGACTAGGAAAGAATCCAGACTGACCCCACATCAGTTTTCCAACTTGCTACTTGCAAACTGGGTGTATTTAATACATTCAGTCAAACACAGGCAGGGAAATTCACAGCAGCCTCCCTTCTCCCCCCCACCCCCATTAAGCAGCTGTTTCTAGCCATGCCTTCAAGTAGCTTTGTGAGATCAAGAAGTCAGAGCATGGGAAGTGACTCCTACCTTGGGTAAGATCTTGGTCTCTGTAGATCTGTTGAATAACAGCATTGATATCTTCAATTGCTTTACGGCGCTCTTCTGTTTTCTTAGTTTTGTTAGCGACATATTCCTGCCCAGTACAAAAAACAAAAACCCTACTACCAATTTGGCTGTATGGGACCACATGCACCAGACTGTGCCAGTTCAAAACAGCACTCACTGTTTGCATCCTCAGTCTATAGCACAACTGTGGCCCACTTCAGGATACTGCAACCTTAAATTCCAGCCCAAATGCTTGTCTGGGGCAGGGGGTAAGTAACCTGCTCAGTCACAGTGCAGAGATGGCAATTTTCAGCTACTGTTGCTCAGTTCTAACCACACTGTAAAAGCAGATCCATATTCACATATGGACTGTCTGGGACTACTTAAAAGTGTCCATTCATAACCAAATGGAGAAGTCTTTTCTAAGGTCTCCAGCAAACTACATGAAACGAGACTGCATTGCAACAGCCTAGAGAAGAGAGGAACATAACCAAAGAGTCACCTGGAGAAAGTCAGCCGTTTGCTGTGGCAGTTTGGTTCCAACAAATTTGAAGTGCTCCTTGTGGAATTTGCTCTCCAGATGTTCATTCATCTCATCATCGTAAAATGTCCGATATTTGCACAACGAGCAAACAAATTGAATCCTACCGAGAGAGTTAGACCCAGGTGAGAAAATGATCCCTCAAGCTTAGACCCCATTCCAGGCTCCCTGTCACAGACAACAGCTATTTTCCTTTTACTCTTACAGGTGTAGTATCTTTCAAATAGTATTATGCCTAGCTTCTAGGGCCACATCCTTCCTGCAGTTTATCATCTAGAGCAGGGGTGGGCAATTATTTCGGGTGGAGGGCTGCTTACTGAGTTTTGGCAAGCCAATGAGGGCCGCATGACAGGCAGCCAGGGGCAGATAACTATTAATTTTCTAAATTTTTTTAAGGGCCCTGCAGGCTGGATAGAATGACCTGGCGAGCCGCATCTGGCCCGCGGGCCACATTTTGCCCACCCCTGATCTAGAGCAACTAGACTCCAAAAGGCACCATGAGCACTCCCCTCCCCTCCGCCTCCATTACTAGGTCCTTCAGAAATGGATCAGGTCTCAATTTAAAAGATTTTGTGACAATAAATCCACCACAGCAGGACACACGGGTGGCTGATCAAGGCAGTCCCAGGGGCCTGCTGTCATTCTTTATAAAACAACAAAGGTTTTGAAGAGAAGAATGCTGAGCCCTGTGCCCTCATTTTGCAGTGACTCATTAAACTACAGGTGCATCTAACACACCATCCAGTTTCTAGGCATACTCAGGGCAGACATCCAACCAGGGTGGATCCCATGGATGGCAACTCTCCAAGGGGACATGCACCCTGCAGGTGGCCCTCAATGCCCACATTGTGCACCCCTGTGGTACAGCTTTTTTGATGTCCCAACAGTCAGCTGCCCTCCTTGATAGAGCTGTGCAGTGTTGAGCTCAGCCACTGGACTGGTTACAGCATGATCTGCTACATTAAAGAACTCTCTACCATCAGCTACTTAATCGACTGACTGGTCAATGGGTCACTCAATCTCCATCTATTCAGATAAGTTTCTGTCTGGTGACATCTCTGGACCCTCCTGTATAACTGTTCTTTCTTTCTTAAGATATCTAAACACCTGAACTAGACAGACAATTAAGAACATACAAGCCATCCTGGATTAGACCAATGGTCATCTAGCTCAGTATCCTATCTCTGACAGTGGCAGAAGTGGATACTATACAGGGAGAGCATCAAACCAGGTATCTCTAATAATCTATTCCCTAATTCAGTACCCTCCCTGGTATCCGCCATTAATAGAGCTATCAGCTGTGAATATATACAGTCCCTTGCTGAACCTGGCTAGGCTGTCTGTCTCCACCACTTTCTGTGGCAGTGAGTTCCACAAGTTAATTATTATATAAAAAAGTCCTTTTTCTTGTTAGTTTTAAACCTGTTGCTTACTAATTTCAGCTGGTGCCCCCTAGTTCTAGTGCTTAAGACTTGGTGAACAAGTTTCCTATTCACTTGGTACATACTCGTCATGATATTATAGACCTTTTATTTTTATATCTCCCCCCAGCTTTCTCCTTTCCACACTGAAGTATCCTAGCCTTTTCAGTCTTTCTTGGTATGGCAACTGCTCCAGGCCCCTGATCATTTTGGTTGCCCTTCTCTATACTTTTTCTAATTCTTTTTTGAGGTGTGGAGACCAGAACTACCCACAGTATTCAAGATGTCAGTGCTCGATGGATTTGTATACTGGATTGATGTTCTCCATTTTCTGTTTCAAGATAGTAAATACTCTTGTACTTATATTCTACTGTTGTGTCAACAGCTTCTCATGAGGTGCACTTTGGAAGTGGGGAGGGTGAAGTAACGTGCCCAAGATTCTATAGACAGGCCCTTGGAGCCAGGGCTGAAAGTCAAAACCCATCTCCTTGGCCCATGCTCCACCTACTGCACATACTCCTTGAACTCAGGTGAGTGAAAAGCTACCTTTCCACCATCCGATCCCGATGCCTTTTTTTCTGCCTGTCTTGAGTTTTCTTGCCCGCCTGCAACTTGCGCTTGATTTGACTGATCTCTTCTTGGATCGTTAGAGCACCTAAGCAAATAAGACAGGTTGTACTTTCTGGCAGTACTTGAGATGGAGGAGGATTTACCTGGACAAGTTTAGCTGCCCACCTGACCAACCCACATAGCTTGGAGAGTTGGTTTAAAAGGGATGCCTCAGCACTAGAAGATGGCTGCTGGAGCAGGCACACGAGTTGGGTATTAGAAGATTCTCCTGCCCCTCTCTGGGCTTTCAGTACAATGAAACAGAGGCATTTTTTCATCATCCAGCCTCTGATACGCAATGGAAGAAAAAAAAATAGTATATTTATAACAATGTAATGCTTCTGCTGTCAGAAGGGGAAGCTACCCCGGCCTTGATCAATTATGGGTGCGATTGTTTTAAGAGATAGCAGCTCCAACCCCTCTGCCATCTGTACGTGACATGGTGAAGGCTGGCAGGAAAAGGCTTAGATAGGAGGAATTAAATTATGCTAACTTTCAGGACAGGGCAGAAGCTCCCTTATCACATGGCAGTACCCCTGGAGTACAGCCGCATATACTACTACCCATAATACTGAACCCAGTCAGCACCCAGCTTGCAATCAGGTTTCTGCTCAGGGAAGTTCTTCCTTCAGAAAGAGGCCATTCTGCTCTTCTCAGCAGCCCTCTCCTGCCAGCAAGGACAGACAGGCTAAGTGATTTATTCTACATCCAGTCTGCGGCACAGCAGGAAACTCCAAAATCCCAAGTTAATGCCCTGACCACTGCACTATGCTACCTTGTCTATGGAACAAGCACTGCATCCTTCTCCCTGTAGATACTATAAGCCTTACGCAGGACCATTAGCACAGGACAGGAGCCAGGCAGTCACAGGACACGGTTACCCTCCATCTTGACCTGCAGCATCCCCTACTCTAGCACTATACCCACAGACAAAGTGTGCCCACAATCAGGTACTGTGTGCACAGACCACTGCAGCTTTTAGGTCACCAGAGAGAAGCCAAAAGGTGACAGATAAGGACAGAAGGGGTCAGTGAAACTAAATGGGTTTGAAGAAAGTAGTCCAGGGCAATGCTGGAATTGAATCCATCCACAGAATAATATTGAACTGTTTATTCCAGGGCAGAGGTCCCCAAAGAATAGAAAAGTTATGCTTGGTGGAAGGATAGTCTTAAAAGTCTTAGGCCTCCCCTAATGGAGCACCAATGCCCATCTTCCAAGCATGCTTTTATACATGCACATAGACTCACCTTTTTCAGAATCTTTTCCTTCTTCATCTTCACCCTCCTAAAATACAATTCCAAGAAGGAGTTATTAAAAGCATCCAGCTATAAACAGTCAGCCAATAGAGAATGCAAGAGTACACTGCTAAAGTAACCTCATGTCTCCTAGCTAACATTGCCACCCGAAACACAAAACCCCTCTTAGCTTCTGATGAAACACCCCCTGCTCGCCCAACCTGATGAATGGTGACAATAACACAGTTCCTCCCCATCCCATACCCACATTTCAACAAACTCCTTATTCACATGGTTTAAGGCAGGAGTGGGCAAAATATGGCCTGCTTTGGCCCACAGAAGGGTTTTGTCTGGCCTGTGGCAGGTCCCTCAGCGCCCAGCCCAGGTGCAGAGAGCAGCCCAAGCTGGAATGCCCGATAGCGCTAGACATACCCACCAAAAGAGCCCCAGCACAAAGGCAGCTGCTCCCACCTACCTGCCCCAATCTTCGGAGGGGGCATTGGTGCCAAACACAGGCTGCAGGATCCTGTGCCAGGCACCTTTGGACAGGAGCCCAGGTGCAACCAGCTGCATTCGCAGAGCTGCTGCTCCTAATCGCCCTAACTGCACCAGCATCTCCAGTGCAGCCCCCGTTGCGTAGCCCTCACCTGGCACTTGCTGTCTGATGTGCCCCATGCAGCCCTGCTCAACCTGGCCCATGTTTTCCCTTTCTCATGGCTGAGACCCTCCACTGCTCCCTGCTGCCTCTCAAGCCCCGATCCATTGCCAAGCTCCCACCTGCACTCCCTTTGTTGCCATCCCCAGCTCCTTCCTGCCACACCCAGGGCTGCAAATGGCATTTGCTTATGTCTCTCTTCTGGCACTGTTCAGACAGACTTAATGCTCAGCTCTGTGTAGTGCCAGGAGTCGGGGCATCCACAGAAAGAGCTGATCCCTTACCAGGACTTCAAAGCTGGTGGAAGCCCCTTGCATTTCGCTGGCTCTGGGGCCCTTCAGCTGCCAATGCCTGGTCCCATCAGCCGTGAAGCTGCCTCTTACTGTTTCGGTTCCATGGGCTGCTGCCGCTTGGCTAGGGATCCCAGCCCCTTGCTCCCTGTCCATCCACAGACTTGTCCATGGACCCAACCTGGCCAAGCGCAGAGTACAGCCACAATCGGCTGCCTGCACATCCCTGTGACAGGTGCCAGTTTCACAGGCAGGGATGTGTGGGGAGCATCATCTCATAGTTGCCTCTAAGTGCTGACAAGCTGTTTCCACTGGAGAAAGTTATCCCCCACATAGCACCTTGCTCTCACGCTACTGTTGCAGCTACTCTATTTCCATCAATCCCTACAGCAGGGGTGGGTAGAATACAGCCTGCATAGACAGAATGGGTGAGTGGGGACCCCATGGGGAGGGCACGCTTGGTTGGGTGGATGTGATGGGACCGCAGGCAGGTGGGAAGTGGCATCTGGGAGCAGGATGAGCAAGCAGAAGCCAGGATCACAGGGCAGTGACATCCTTGTTCTGCAGGGAGTGGATTGTGACTCTGCCTTGGGCCCTGGCCCCACACTGTCAACTGTCCAGTGATCCCAGCCCCAGCCTGCTCCTCCTGCCCACCCAGTCCCATCCCATCCACCGAGCCAAGGGTGCTCTGCTAATGGGGGGTCCTGGCTGATCTCCAAGGAGACCCCACTCACCTGCTGTCTGGTGCTCCCAACAGTGGGTGCGTGCGTGTGTCCCCATGCCATGTCAGCGCCTTCTGCTCCCCTGCCCCCGAGCCCACAACGGCTCACCCAAATTCCTGAAGTGGCCTTCTAGCCAAAATAATTGCCTACCCCTGCTCTATGGTCTTAACTGTAGAAAAAGTTTAAGCATCCAAGTATTACTCACAGCTTTGGAGCCCTCCTTCTCTGCAGCTTCTCCTTCTGTCCCCTCCTCTGAAAGGCAAGGCACATGTCACCACTCAAAAAGAACAGCTCAGCAGCTCACAGAATGGTACTAACAGTTTACCACCGAACTAGCTATGCAAGAGAAAATGGAATCCCAGTCATGGCATCCCAGTCAGGGAAATAAATTCCTATCAGGACTAAAAACCAAGCTGCTACCCAGCAGAGAGCAGTTCCTACCATTGTCAGAGTCAGAATTGTCAGAGCCATCTGTTTTTGCTGCTTTGCTGTCAGGCTCATCAGAGCTGTTTGTCTGCTTTCTCTTCTTGGCAGTGGGATCTTTCTTAATTTTCTTTTTCTGCATCTGCACCAGGGAAAAAAAAAAAAAGCCATCAGTCCCTGAAAAAAATGCTGGACGAGGATGGGGTCTTGTAACTAATAATACACTTTGTGAATACACCTTGAAATGTCTGTATGCTCCACTAAGCTTCCCTACAACACACAGTTGTTTGACAGAGTCAGTTGGGAAGGAGATCACACTGCACAGTCCTTCAACAGGCTGCTTTCCTACAGCATGAACCAAAAATACACACATATTTTTCCATCTTTCATCTGCAAAGCTTTTACTTTAACTGCTCTGTGTATGAGTGTGGCACTGGAAAGGAACAGGGCCTCTTCAAACAACTTAGAAAGAATGCCAAGATGCCAAGCTACCAAGTCACAGAGATCAATTTTACAGTGGGACTGATAGTATTTAGGAAGCAGGGCCCGGTGCACTCAGGCCAGCATGGGTGCTTTCCTGGGAAGTGTTTAACCTCTCTGAGGTAACGGGGCAGGAAGGGAGTGCACAGGTACTTACTTTAAAGTCTGCGTCCCACATTTTCCAGTTTCTCCTCATTCGCTGTTTCATGAAGCCTCCTCCAAAGCGGTTTCCAGAGAAACCTCGCATTCCCTGGAACATGCTGAGTTCAGGGATAATGTTGTGGGAGAAGAGGGAAGGGAGCCTATGGGAGCCATGGGGGCCAAGGCCCCGCCCTCCCATAGGCTGTGGCGGCTCATTCCATTGTCCGCCCATACGCCCGGAATAGGAAGATGCCATGGGTCTGTTATTTCGCCCGTCTCTGGCCCAGTTCTGACCCCGCTGGCCAAAGTCGTCCCGTGCTCTGTTGTGGTACTGGTCCCTGCGGGTCCCATAGTAGTTGTCATAGTGACCTTCATAGGCATTGTCGTTGTCATGTTCAGCCTCACTGTAATCATAGCCGGATCTGTACAGATCACGGTCGTTCAGTGAAGACCTTGAGTCGTAGGACTCATATGAATCGTACCTGCAAGAGTTGCACAGCAAGCAAGGAATCCAGTCAGTAGCATATAAGGCACCGTGAGCCTGCCAAGAAATGGCAGCAGAGAGGTTAAACAAAAAAAACAACAGCACTGTTCCAGTCTCATTTATAGCAAACAAGGCTCAGAGGTTTCACTCAACATGGGAGGTTTTCCTTGTGTGATACAGCAGCAGGAGACAGGACGGGACAGGGCAAGGGCCAGATGATGGGCATAAATAGAATGATTCAGAGCAGCAGGGATTCGGCTCAACCTCCATTCATCACAGAAGGATCACAATTTTACAGTGAGATTTCAAATATGCTTAGCGAGCCAGGAGTCCCTCAAAGCTAATCTTCAGTTTCTCTGACAGTGTCACATGCTGATCTTTTTAAAGAAAAAGATCCTAAGCTGAGCAAAGGTTCCTCAGGTAGAGGTAACTGTAGATTTTCAACTGGGCAGAAATTCAGATTTTTTCAGCAAGACTGAATTGGTTCACCTCCCCTCCTCCTACTTTCCTGTCAGCAACACCTGAATCAGACTGAACAACTCAAAGAGTTAAAAAGAAACACAAAGCTAATTAGACTACAGAACAATAATTCCATTTCCCCCTTCTATTCTGAATAGTGAGGAGAAATGGGTTTATACAGACAACAGGTAAACATTGAAGTTCTCTGGCAGAATTCAAGGCCACAATTATATAGTATAATATAGTATAGGCACTTAATCTGGTATGACCATCTTGTGTTGGTAAAACTCTTTCCAGGCGCATATTAAACCATGTTATTACTGGTCAATAGAGTTCCTACAAAAGCAAGGTAAGCAGGACAGTTTCAGAAATACTAAACCTGCCAGTGTTTTATACTTAAAAAGTCTGTAGTACTAAAGTAGTAGCTCTGTCCACCCTCTTGCAGGAGTTGACAGAGCCCTAGGCTCCAGCAGACATGACATACCAGAGTTTAAGGAAAGATTTATAACGTTCTTCCTGACAGCACACTGCTTTGACTGCTGACCCGTGGTGCGAGGAAGACCCACAGCCACCAGAGCAGAGCACAAAAGGGTCACGTTACACAAGGAAGCAAGAACACAACAGCAAACTAGGACTGATCACCGGGGCACAAACCCTAACAATTATGCTTCATAGTGAGGGCTTGAAAGCAAGGAAAGAGGAAAGAAACAATGGCTGAGGAGGAGACATCATCCTAACTGCAAGGCCAGAAGAGAACCACTCCAAATAGATACACAAAACACCAACAAAACCCCCCCCAAACAAACCTGTTCAGGCTACTGGCAACCAACTAAGTCTTCAGACAGTGCAGCTACTTGTGCCCATTTACAGAATGCCAGAGCCTCTTTTGATCCTATGAAATGAAACCACTGCTCTCACCCCATTGTTCCCAAAATGGTTTACCACACTGCCAGGATTTTTGACAAATTCTTGCCTTCACTGAAGGTTAAAGGACAGAGTTAATGGCCAACTCACATCTGCTATGACAAAATTAAGGCCTAGCAGAAATAAATGTAACGGCTTGCATGATGCTCAAGGATGGGAGCAGCAGCTGCTAGTTGCATTGCCTACGTAAAGGATAAAAAAAAACAAACCCTGTAGGATCCTGCATTTAAGAAATCAAAATCTGAGAAAGATAAACTACCTGTTCACCTGGGGCCCATCAAGGATCCATTCCTCTCCCCAAAAATATACTTTTAGACTAAAAGGTAAACAAATGACTCCATCAAAGTCTGCTTGAGGCAAGAGCATAAGCAACTGCCTCCATCAGACTCAGAAGTCCACTGCACATTTGTCATCTATGCCATTACTACAATTAGCATAACACTTTTTAATATACAATCAATGAGTCACAGGCCATTCACAACTGCTGAACAATCTTTCTTAGTTCTTGTTATACTATCTAAAAAACCAAGAAACTAAGTTCCAGATTCAAAAAAACAATGTCAAGTTGCAAATGAACCTGAATTTACTTAACACAAAAGGATGCAGAATGCCATGAGACATTTTTAGGTATCAAGTCTTACCATTAAGAGACTATGTTCTAATTGGACAGGAGGTAGCCAGGAGCATTCTCTACATTGGGGTAGGCAAAGTCTAACCCACAGGCCGGATCGGGCCCACGATGGACTCTGTTTCCATCTGTGAGCAGGGGTGTGCAGGCAAATCGCAGCTCTGACCTGGCCCTGCACTATCACCACCACAAAATCTTGGCCCTGGAGCAGCTCCCTGCCCAGCTGCATGCCCTGCCAGTGCTGCTTGGGCTGGTCCCCATGGAGACGCAAAGAGCACAGGGCCAGGATGGCCCTGCTCTGTCAAGGCTCCCCCCTTCATGGAGATTAGCTGGAATAGCACAGGCAAGGGCTGCTGAGATATGGAGTCTGGCCACCGGCCAGATCCACCATTTTGCCCACCTGTTCTATGTGGATGTAAATCTGCTATTGTTCAAATGAGTTCTTGTACACAAGTAAGATACTTGGATGTAAGAACTTGAAACAGACTGACCAGGATGAACAGATAATTCACAACAACCTAGAATGAGCAGCTGTCTCAGAAGTATTACAGCCAAGAGAAACTCATTTTAAATTGAACACAAGAAGCAATGACAGACAGCATACCCCCTTGCTAGCACTAAACACCTTTCAGATTTTAAAATGTTAAACTCCTCTCCTAACTTCATCTGGATGTCTGCACCAAATTCCCAAACAACAATCCCGAACCAGAGTAAAACATCTCTTCTAAAAATCAGGACTAACTTGATCTTCAATTTAAGATCAAGCAAGGCATGTGCAGAATGATAGCACTGCTAAAAAAAAAAAAACTGACATACATTAGCAAGCTCCCACAAGTGAAAATATTAAGGAACATCCTTTGCTCATCTTCAGTATAAGGTTTGTTTTCAAGTGTATCAAACAAGAGTACTTCATGAGATGCTGCATTAGTGAATGCACCAGTCAGGCCATTGAGGATACTTTGTTTCTCAAGCCTGGGCACAAATGCTTCACTTAAAAAATAAACAGATAATAAAAGGGAAAGTATCTGAGCCAACTGGTTGTTGACCCATTCCTCACATCAGCCAAAGTGCAAAGACAAAGCAAGAACAAGGCTGAGAAAGAAGAGGCAGCCATTCAGATGGACAGAAGTACTTTAGAGTGGAGTTTTCCTTGGGAACAGACACTAGCCTAGCTATTACTGAACCTCTTCAGCTTGAGCTCTACACTCACCTGTCTCCACCTGAGCCATAGTGTCCTCCTTGCATCGTGTCCGTTTCTAGATGAGACACCATATCTACGTGCTGGTTAATTTTTGCTAGATCGGCATTGGTGCCAGTGGAAGCGTTAGGGTTCATGTCAGTGTCTGAATTAGGCATTTCCCAAGAGTTTGAACTGGCCATACCATACCCATAATTGCCAGAGTTATCCTGACTGTATCCATATCCATAACTATATCCTTCGTAACCTGAAATAAGAGAAGAGACATTTAAATTTCCAATGAAGTGACTCAGCTAACATTTATTCAATTTTAGGAGCTCCAAAACTGTCTCTGCCCACATATTTAGATATATTTTGAAATGCATCTGTTTTTAGTTTACAAGTCACCTGCCAAGGGTATTTTTGTGGTTTGTTTTTAAGAGTGTGGGTGCCCCAAAGCCCTGTGGCCAGTATTACACAAACCCAGAACTACACAGTAACATTCCATCATCCTCCCTCACCAAAATGTATGTCATTAAACCTGCAATGCCTGTTCTCATTCCTCCTGGTCAGGAATGGGCTGTAGCATGACATGCAGAGCCCTCCACCAATCACCATCCATTCAGTGGATAAAGCATCACGAAAGAATAAGGTCCAGCTACCTTCTGAAATTATAGCTAACGCTGCTGTAAATGATTAGGTGTGTATGAGGAGTGTGAGTTGGGAGAGAAGGGGATACAGGATGGTGTCTTCAAGACATGTGAGTTGGGAGAGAAGGGGATACAGGATGGGGTCTTCAAGAGGGAACCAGTGGAGAGGCAAACCCATGCAACATTCTGACAAGAGAGGTCAGGAGCCATCCATATGAAGTCAGAAGAATTTCACAGTTCTGAACTCACTAGCTCACTTCATAGACTTGAGAGTTTTTTCCACCTGGATTATATGGTGCTGTCTATAGTTTATTCTTCTAGAGACATGCAGGACTTCCCAAGATCATAAACCCTTATTAATTTTATGACAAGTACTATACATTCACATGGCTCATTGTCTCATGGCAATTCTGCTCCTTCTCTGGCCCAAATGTAAAGGAAAGAAATGGGTCTGTTGTGTCAGTCTTGGGTGGCAGAGGAAGCCACTCCCCACTAAGACTGCAGATAAAGGTAAAAAAACAGTGAAACAGCAGACAGGTTCCATGCCATTTCCCCTTTCTGACTTATGTACCGAATTCTGCAGCCATTAGAACAGTTTTAAGAATTTGTATCGCTTCATAGTGTGACCCACAAGGCAGGCCAGAAAGATATAAAAGCTTGGAGGCCCTACATTATATGAAGGGCAGAAGAGAGCACCAGAACACTTGGGAGTTTTTCAAGAACATCCCAAGAGAATTGGAATCAATACAAACTGCGAGAGTAGATAAAAGCACATAGGATAGTATGACCAAACCTGAAACAATACATGCTTAGGGTGCACTGTGTTTGAATAAGTTTATTAATCAGTAAATTGTAAATGTGCCTGGCACCAAACATGACTGATCATGAGGAAAACATGTAGAACAATACAACCAAAACTGCGTAAGAGAGACAAAGAGGCTAATTATAAAGTTCAATAACCAGCAAGTACTAGGCAATGATGGAGATTTATATAAGCACTTTTAATGTACTAAAACAAGTAAAACAGAAATGCACGTGGGATTTGTGTTTAACTGCACTATCCGTGCTGCTGGCCAGTCTGATCACCTGGCTGACAGCATGAATAAAGTTTATACTCGCTGAATAGAAGCTGCCTGCTTATACAACCATGCTGCAGGACCTAGCAGGCCCTTGGGACAATACATGGAGGACCTTTTTCAGGAGAGTAACCGGATTTTGCAAGTGAAAACATCTGAATTCCAGCAGGACAGGTCACTTGAAAATCCTTAGTCTAGGATACCATTTCACAACCTGTGGGTCGCAAGAATATATGAGAGAATTGGGAACAAACTTTAAAAATGGATCAACAAACTTTAAAAATGGATTCTCCTTTAAAAGAAGAAAAGTGTGGGAAAATGTGGCTTTTCTCTTGCGGTTTCAGCCTGTAGGGGACGGCTTGGGGCCCTCTCATGCCCCACACACCCACTCTGTTCCCTACACACTGTGGGGCTGGATCACTGATGTTTACAAATGGGTCCTGGTACAAAAAAAGGTTGAGAACCACTGGTCTAGGAGACAGGGCATTTGGCTATCTTCTGGACATCTGAATTCTACCCTTGGCTCTGCCTGCATCCTGGTGCATCAATCTGGGTTAGTCATTTTCTTTCTCGCCTTTCTTCTGTCCTGTCAGCTTGGACTAAGATTCTCAGAAGAGAAAGCGATCACTACTTACCTGTTTTGTACCTCTCTCTGAGGCGAGACTGTTAGGCAGATAAAACTGTGCTAGCAAGTACCCTGCTGTATCTTGCAAAAAGGACTGCTGGTTGAAAATGGAAATAGTGATTAAATCTTTCAACTAGCTCTGAAAGCATCAAACAGGTCATAATATCCTTGAATGATTGGAGAAGGGACAATTTTGTGTTTTGTGCACTGACCAGAACCAGCATTTGACTTGATTGCAGTCATAGTAATACAAATGTTTTGCTAATTTTGCCTTGCTACTTAGTCTTTCGTTTGGTGTGCCAATGAAAACATGCAGATCAGCAAGGTTCTACTGTGTAGTCAGGCACAGCTCTCCAGCCTGGCCAAGATCAGCTCAGCTTCTGGAAAAAAGCAAGGATTTGCAAACAAACCTGTTTTAAGTTTCTCCCTAAAGGCAGGGCCACTGCTATTCTAGAGACATTGTGAGCAGGTTCTGACAAAGTCACTGGACTAGCACAACAGACTAGAAATTCAGTACTGTAACACAGTAAGAAAGCAGCTTCTCTGACAATCCTCAGTGCCACTTCATGGAGGACAGATTTCAGATAGAAGGAAGCTGGTTCTGGGCATGTTCTGCTGACCTGAATAATCAGGATAGAACCAACATACTCAGTGTGAGGCACAACAGAAAGCTTCATCTGACAGCAACTTAAGCAGATACAACTCAGATATAGGGAACAGATTTCACCTGTGGAAATCTGTCATGCTTAATCATTTTTCTACCACCTTCATTTATTAATGACCCATGCTCATGATTATTTAGATTTCCCTATACTTACCTCTGTTTGTCCCAGAATTCCAGTCTCCATAACCTAGAAAGAAACAAAAGAGTGGTCAGAACCCAAGTTTACACAGTAATTCCAGCAGCTGTAGCTAAAGCTCAAGAATCCTCAAGTCTGAACATCCCCAGCATCACAGCAGCCCATCTAGCTGTCTCACACCAGACACCCTTAAACTGAGAGGCCAAAGCCTGACCAACCCATATCAATGACAAGTAAAAGGCACATACTGGATAGCACCATCTTGCCTCCCAAATTTTAAATTCCAGCTTAAGTGTCTGGCTCTTGAGACTACAGGGATAGCTTTCCACTTGTGAACGGGCACTGCCTGTCTTTCTGAGCTACAGGAAGATCATTGCTGGGAACTGGAGATACCACTTGTCTATGGTTCAAGTCAAAGGCCAGCACATGATGCCACTGTAGACTAGAAGGGAAGCTGCTGTCCACACCAGTAACTAGCTCTGAGCATGGCAGTCCAGCCTGAGAGCTGGGATGTGCTCTCCTCAGCTTTTCTGCAATATAAAGTTTCCCATTATTGATTGGTACAGTCACACTGATGCTAAACCTGCTTCAGCTCCAACTGTAATCAGGGACAAGCCATGATGTTCATTTTAAACATGGTTTCTGAGACTGCACAAAAGCCAGAATGGTCTTTGATACAAGTACAACTGGTCCCTCTTCAACTATCACCTTTAAAGTGAAACTAAACTTTTACTGTCCATAGCATTGGCTCATAACCTTTTTAGACATAAAATTCCCTCGGAAACTGCCAGTTCTTAGCTTTCATTCAAATTTGCGACTATGGAAAACATAATAGTTTTTCTGTTGCAAAGAACTCAGAAAGCACATAAAAAGTGTCTGACACCATGGATACCAATGTGAAAGCTCTGAGTTTATTTTGTGAATCATAGTAGGTGTTTGTACACCTAAAAGTGCCAGTATTGCACCTTAAAGGAACTTGTAGTACCCTGGCTGAGATAGGGCAAGCAGTTTATTTGTGTTCATATGAATCTAGATAAATGCATAAACACAATCATACCCACTGGAAGAACAGTCTTATGTAACAGAGGATTGTTGTCTCAGTTCTTTTGTGTGTGGGGGAGCACTGTCTCACGATTCCTGCCAGGACAAAGATAAGGATGTTTTTCTTCACTCAGCTTGTAAATGTTTGCATGCGTTTTAAATCAGCTCCCATCACAGATACACAAGCTAACACACTAAACTCTAAGCCATGCTCCTTCTACAAGCTAAACATTTAACAACCAAAGAGCTACCTAATTGTAGATAGCACTTACAACAATCATCAGTGAAATCAACCAGGAGATTGTACAGGAAAATAGTATAAAAGGAAATGAATGAATATGTAAATACTACGGAAAGGAACAGAAATAAGAATCGTTAATTCAAGTTATACCAGGGAAGAACTCTAAACATACCAAAAAGTCCACCAAGAATTACAGTTTGGTATAACCTCAGTGATTTTTAACCCACCCTGTTCAACCGAGTGTGGAGCAAATATTAGCCACTGGGAGCACAGGAGCTTCTGGGGCCTTGAGATCCGTTCAAGGGTGCCAAACAGGCTGCACTGTTAGGTGTGCAAACAGGATGTGCAAGATAAATCCAGAGATTTCAAATAGGAATTTATACTATTACTGCCCTGTTGTGGTTTTTCCTAGTTTTTTGCAACAGTTAAATTGCTCTATTATTTTCCATCATCAAAAATGAGTGAAAATTAAGAGCTAGCATTTTCCAAGGGGCACCTCAAGTCTACCGAGGTGTGCCTCAAGTCTAAAAAGGCTCAGAACCACTCACCTCTGTTCTGTAAAGCAAGGACATAGGTCAGGCCCCAATTAACTCTACCAGCTAGTATGTGCATGGATCTGAATCAGTGGTGAATATGAGGAACTCCATTTTGTATCAGCAAGACTGCCTGGTCTTACTGGAATTCCTGACACACTTTGGTGCCCCAGTAGCTACAGTTATATCCCTCCCTCTCAAAAGCACTGAGGCTCTGACTGTCTTGTTCAAGTGGCTGGCAATTCCTGGCACCGAATTCCTATGTGCACTCTGCTCTGAAGGGAAAAAGACAGTTAGGGTTTTTTTTAAACTGGAATTTGGACCCTCATTTTGCAAGGATGCTTACCCCAGAAATACTCTCCAAATGAGTCATTAGAAACAGTTCCACATTATTAATCAAGTATTATATGTCCCTCCCTCCCTCGCCCCACCAAAAAAGTAATCCTATAATCCATGCAACATAAGCTGATGGAGAATAGGTTTAGGTTGGAGATCAGAAGGCAATATTTTACAGTTAGGGTGGCCAAAATCTGGAACCAACTTCCCAGGGAAGTGGTCCTCACCCCTACTTCGGGCAAATTCAAGAGGAGGTTGGACGATCACCTGTCTGGGGTCTTGTGAACCCAGCATTCATTCCTGCCTGTGGCAGGGGGTCAGGCTAGATGATCTGTTCAGGTTCCTCCTGACCCTAGCTACTATGAAACTATGGAACGGATCTATATCACTGACAGCATACTGAATAGGCACAGAACAGAGCCCAAAATTCAAATGCCATGGGGGACCTGAGCCTTTAAAAGAAGGGGTAGGGGGGCTCTAAAGTTAGCTTTCTGAGTTCTGGACATTCAAAGTCATGTAATTTTAGGTCAAGTCACAAATCCATGATTAGCAGAGTCATTTACTAGAAGCTTGTCAAATAGAGATTAATTTGACCTCACTATCTGAAATTTCATAGGCTGCTGCAGTCAAGAAATACATTATGAAAAGCTTCACGTACCAGCATGAACTGCATTCCTAATTCAAGGATAGAGGCATACCTTAAGATAAAAGTGATGTAACCCACTGTATTTCTATTTGGAAGTTCCAAAGCTGCATCACAGAAACAAATTTATATTGTACTTTTCAACACACAGCATCTCAAAGCTCTTTATAAACCTACTGAACAGCCCCCTTTAACTTTCATGCAACAATAAACCCCCAACTTAGCCATTCACCTGCCATGACGCCAGATCCCAGAGTTCTTCCTGGCTGGGACAACACAAAATGTTAGCAGATGGCTTTGCTTAAACAATTTCTTTGGCAGGTGACAGGGATAGGTATCATGGCATATTTGGCATGGGAAAGGGATGGCAAGTTGTAGGAAGCCTTGAAGTAGAAGGAAACAGGAGTCTGGCATACAAGAAATTTAAGGGGAGGGTGCAGAGAAACGGAAGATGCTTGACCTGGAAAAGCAACAAAGTGCATGCCCTTCTAGTTCCATGACTCTCAAACAGGATGCTGTGAGATCCATTTAAGGATGACACGTAACATTTGCACCGTTAGTTGTGCCAACACCTATAGACGATCCATGAGATCAACCCAGAGCTTTCAAACAGGAATCCATGGGGTTGCAAAAAGATGACAACAGGTCAGAATGTCCAAGTTCTCTGCAACAGAAGACTCGCTATAGTGTTTTTCCAGAGTCAGAAAAAACAACAAAAGCCAAAAGCCAGCATTTTCTTTGAAGCTAGTGAGGGGAGTCTTGAATCTAAAGAGTTTGAAAACCACTGCCTTAGTGACACATGACCAGAGCCAGGTTACAGTCAGCATACAGGAACTGAATCATTTCATGTTTACAAGTGTCAAAAAACAAAACAAAACAAAAAACCCCACTGTTTAAAACACCTTGATATACAACTTTCCCATGAGGCATTCAATAAACTTAATTACTCCAGCAATCTGCCTCAAAACCTTAACAGATAGAAACAGATTTTAAATTAAAGCCTTCCACTCTGTAAAAGCCAGGTAATCCCCAGATAGTAGCTTCATAACCCATAGGCCTAGAACCATGTGACAGGCCTAGCGCAGAAGTGGCAGCCAATTGTGGGGGCACAAAGGGAACCAAATGGGCAGGCAAATCCAGGCATGGATTCAGCTAAGGAGGAAACTTTTGCCCTGAACACCAGCGTACACCCCCAGAAACTGACATAACAGAGGTGTCGGGCAACGCAAGACTTAAAGCCCTAACTCCATTAGTTTGCCTAAAGCCTATCCACTGTATTTTAAATCAGAGTAAGACTACTTCCATCCTAGAAGAGAAGTTTTTCCAGCAGTATTATCAACTCTGAGCTCTGCTGGGTTAGCGACCTGACACCGCTAATGCAATGGTTTCCTTTATGTTAACTTGGGACGTACTAGCAGAGTGGTTACTGCGTTTCATAAAAAGGGGCTCAAGCCTCAGTCAAGACTAGGAGTCAGCAACCTCTTGCCACCATAGGCTGGTACTGCTAATGGCTGCAGAACCCTGTCCCCTCTCCCCCCAGTGTTCAAGCCATCTGCATTAACCCTTGATGCAAATCCCCAGCCCCTCTGCAGCAAAGGTAAGCACAGGCATGAGCAGCAGGGAGAGCTGTAGAAGGGGGCACTGCAGAGAGGATGGGTAGCTCTCAGCTGTGCCAGCCCATCTCCACCACCCACAAAGCCCAGCAGGCCCAAGCCAGATCCACATCCAGCCCACAGGCTGTCTTGTCTGTAGGCGCTTGCTGAAGGCCAACCCTGTCACTCCAGTTGAGAAGTCAAAGGCAGCCAGGTGGGATGCTAACACACCAGTGCTGGTCACAGAAAGAGGCATACTTTATCCCCACTAGCCTGAGGGGGGCCAGTGGGCTCTGGGACACCTCTGTCCTTGACAGTAGGTTAATTCCTTTAAAGTGTGAAAGCATAACTCAGCAACGAGGGCCCACTAACGCTTCCCCTTCTTAGCACGGCAGCCGTCTCCCAACGCTGCAACAAGAGGTACGAACTCTGGGCGCCCAGCCCTCGGCCCCAGGGCTGTCCAGGGCCACTACTGGAAGCGAGTGGGAAGGCAAGGCCCCAGGAGACGGAGACGGGCATGACCGCACCACATCCCATGCCGCTCTGGCAAAGGGCTTCTCTCCCGAGAAGGTGCAAGTCTCCCCTGCCCTCCACCCGCCTTCGGGATCACGCAGCGGCCTCCCTCTCCTGCCCCTGCTGGGCCGCGGACCCGGTGACACTGGCAGCCTCCACTCGCTCCCCGCACCCCGCGCCCCCCC